ATGATGGTTTTGGGATTTTATCTGGTTTGAACCAAAAGCTAACTTCCTCTTCATAATTCTGGTTGCTTGATGTATGAAAGTCTGTTTATTTACAGTTGGGGTTGTTGAGTATATAAGTATATATAACACAGTCCACATGCCCTAGCCACTATGTTTATGTTATATTACATCTTTTTTGATCCTCAACCTCCTAATGCTGAGGATGAGTTATGGAACCTTGTCTGTCTGATTGAGGTTGTGCATCTACATAGCTAATTCTGTTTATATTTTGCTATGGATTACACTTCTCAGACAGAACAAGTTGCATTTGTGCACAGATTAATTTCCTACTTCTAGGGCAAAGAGCATACCTGTTCCAGAAGTAGTGAGGTACTCCACTAGTGGGCTTCATTTTCATCTCAGGACACACCTGTTCATTCTGGGTGGTTGCTTATCGCTTGGTTTCAATGTAGTGTGCCTAAACTTTAGCATTGTGGGATTCTAGCTTTATGTGATTGTTTCTTACCTGTTCTCACCGACTTCCCACCTTTCCTCTCCACAGCTGGTGTTCTTCTTTTAGATCCTGCCAATTATCAAAAGTGAGATTGACTGGAAATAGCAGAGGGAGCTAGCTGTGCCAGTATAGGTGGCACAGTACTATTGGTGGAGAGTAGTCACATGATATGTACACGTTCAAAAATGACACGAAATTGATGGGGTTTATAAACTGGTGTGCTGAGCGTGAAAATTTTTAGCAATGGTAATAGGGCAGATAGAAGATTGAGATAGCTTTGTGTGAAAGGAAGTAAGTACCTATTAGAAATACATTTTCAGTGTAAGAAAAATGTTAACTTTCAATTCTTGATTCAGTTGGTCTCAGACTTCTCCCTTTCATCTGCTGGAGGTGGAGCATGTAGTCACCTTGACTCTTGCCCTTCCTATATTTCCTGTGTGAGTAGTTTATCTCTTGGAGACTGTTGCATCTGTGGAATATTTTGTGCCTCTAGGCTGCACTCACATGAAGCCTCTTTGATGAATTTTGAGTAACCCATGGAAAATCCCTCACACTTCTCTGTCTTTTCTTGTGATACTGCCATTTTATCTTTTTAAATACCTGTTTTGGTGGCTAGATAATGCCAATACAATGGTCGGCATCTCACTAGTACTGCCTTAAAGAACAGATGTCACGATTCTCATATTATTTGAGATTGAGGATTTTCTAAATATTTTTTTATAGAATTAAGAAAACTTGAAACTTGTATTAAAATAAGATTTGTTAACTATGTTTTGGTGCCAAGTTTTATTCATTTACATTGATAATAAAGTTGTTTATATTTTGAATGTAAATATAAAAGGTCATGACATGCACATTTTGACCTACCCATTGTAGGAGAGTTAAAAATCATGCTTAATAATATATTTCTTTTTTTTATGTTGTGAAATTTACAAAATTTTGTTGAAAGACTTCTTTTAGAAAAAAAAAAAAAATACTTTTTGTCTTAAAAGCTTAACTTTGTTTTCATTGTTGATCAGAAAGTTTCATTTTATGTATCTAGTCAAATTCACCATGAGATTGATTTTCATTAACATATGTTGATTAAACTTTATTTTGCTAATTAATATAGATTGTAAAAGACACTGCATAAACCTGCAAACATTTATTGCTGACCTGAGATCTAGTATATCAAAATGGTGTCAGGTCAGGCTAAGTAACAGTATTTTTGCTAACAGTAATCTTAGTTGAAATTAATTGATATTTAATAAACATAATTTTTTCATTGCATTTTATGTTTTTAATTATTTATGTTGGTTGAATGTAATAAACCTAACAATATTCAATAAATTTGGATTTGAATTACCCTACTGTATTTGCTAAAGTCTTCCAGTGGCTCAGCAATAAGTCTGAATGCTTATAACACTAAAAACCAGGTTTTGATACTCATGGTGGGCACAGTACAGATTGTAGATTGTGTAGCTTTGTGTTTAACTACAAACAAACAAACTACTTGCTAAACTAATAAGGCTTACCTGATGTCTTATCAAAGAAAAAAATTACCATAATTTTCAAATAAGTATAATTTAAATTTTTTTATGAAACTATGTGAATAGTATTTTACATGAACTCATTTTCAGGAACAAAACGAATACAAAGAAACTATGAAAACATTCTTTGACCTGTTCTTTTCTTATAAACTATATATTAAAATATATTATTATTTCCTACAGGAGCTACATACCACTTTCTAATAAAACTGCAAACTATTACATACACCTCTTTATTCATTTTACATTGATGTAAATATTTTATAGTGTACGACATACAATGGTATTTAAACTTTCCCTGTAGCTATTGTCAAAGCTGATTTTTGGTAACAATTGTTTTCACCTTTTATCACTTCACATCATGTGATGTGAAAAGAGGCCTGTAGTAATAAATCTTCCTAAAGAGAAAGAAAATCAGGAGAGAAACAAGACTAACTGTATTCTCAAGGAATAATAGTTTTTTAACAAATAGAAACATGTGCTTTGTGATGGGTAGAAAAATAAAAAGTTTTGCCAAATATATCATTTACAGGCGATATTCCTCAGAACTGTGTACAAATGTATGTTTGTAAGTGTTTTACCTTTTTGTTTGTGAATTACACTAAATAAGTGTTAACAATGAAAAATATTAATTCTAAAATGTTTCTGAGTAAATAATTATTGAAGTAGAATTATTATTTTTACTTAAGTTTTAAAATTTGATATGCAGGTTTGCACTCAGTATGTGGATGGTGCTAACACAGTGTATTCCATAGGGTGTAGTCATTACCAATTGCACCAGCGTATGGCAGTACAAAAGGGTTTCAGGATGTGAATTCTATCATATGTGGCATTAATGATACCATTCCATAGGATGAAGAAGTTAGTATTGTTGTTAATGCTTATTCCTGCTCAGGTCATACTTCTACCACCACCCAGAGTCGTGTTCCTATGTGAAAATGGGGTGGATCCAGTTCCAGATTCTTTTTAAATGAGAAACAGTCTGTTTTCTAGTGGCACTATGAAGCATGACTTTTCTGTAAAAAAGAATATTGCTTCATGTGTTGGTCCAGTGGATATTTTCTTGCCACCACTGTAAATGAATTGTTTTAAACCTTGATATGAATGGAGTGCACTTCATTATATATTTATCATACTGGTCAGTCTTATAAAGTCTATTCCTAAATATCTGTGTAATGATATTGCATCTAATTATGGCTTTGATCATTTGATTCAATCTCTGAGCTTGTGTCCTGTGACAGTCATCTGTTTGTATTATGGATGAAGATCTTATCTAGGTGTCTTGGCAATCATACTACTGGTTGAGAGGTATTCTACTAACAACACTTGATATGCTTGGAACTGATTTGAAACATCCTACTGTGATTGGGTGATCTTTGTTTATTGTTTTTTTTATTCACATGACTAAAACATTTGGATGTTACCTCTGAGATATAGTAATTGTTTGTGAACAATTTTGCTTGAGTCCTGTGTTGCACTTCAAAATAATGTCTGAGAAAACTGGAAAGCATAGGCTGAACAATCAATTATTTCCATTTCAGACCAAATGACTGATCATAAAGTGCTTGATTTTCATAACTATCAAGTGAGTGGGATGATTCACATTATTTTAGAACAGTGTTTTTGTCTTGCATACATCGATACTGCAAATTCTGACTATTCTTCAATATTTTTTGGAGCAGTGTGTTTTGTGGATGTTACTAGCCTCATTAAATCTTGCAGATAGTTTCACATTTTTGTTTTTTAACAACTGATTTTATTTGTATTGCATTGTGAAGATTTACATAACTGAATCTTTTACATAAAAGTTTTTTAAGCCAACGAAAGCTGTCGTGTGTATTATCTGTACTTGTGTTATATTTTTGTGTGTGTGATATATATTCAGTTGCAATGTGTAATTTATCAAGCATGACAGGACTTGCAATTAGTGGTGGTTAGCTGGTAAAAATCTAGTGAGTTGTAATGTTTAGCCAATGATTACCAAGGGACATTACCAGATGATAATCTAGGCATGATTATGGATATTCAAATCAGTTGTGAACAGTGGTCATTATAGCTGTATGATTAACTTTATTAATTTATTATATCAATAATTGAAATATTTCATTATTGTTTTAAAATTAATTCAAAGTTTTTTAGCTTGATTAATTAGTGACACAACTCACAAATGTAGTCAACTAATAAAAATTAATATTTCCAATAATTACTGCTTTTTTCCAACTATCCAGGTCTGATGTTAGAATATTAGTGATGTAATTGATTAATGAGCCTGACAATTGATTAGCAAATTCTACTAACTGCCCAGCTATAATGGTAAAAATTATTTTAAAAACAAATTGGTTGCAAGCAAAAAACATGTTTGGGGAAAAAATTCACCATGGTAATTGATCAATAAGCTTTTTCCAGTAGCTTGTTGTGCATCTTACTGTGGGATTCTCTAAGTTTAAAAAAAAGTATATATATATATTTCTACATTTGGTATTAGCAAATACAATTATAATTACAAACATAAATCTATAATTTGATAGTATATTAAAAAATATAAAAATGAAAAAAAAGGCATTGCTTCTTGAAAATTCACACCATTTGATTAGTTGCTGTATGTCTGCTAATCCCACTAGTAAATCATTTGTTAGCTTTTTTCTTATTCAGTATGGCTGGCACTTTTGCAAGTAGCTTTAAAGTAGCTGGCAAACATTTCCAGTTGCCAAACATTTTTTTTTTTATTTATATGAGTTATACACACATGAACAGCCGTTGAGACAAAAATCTCGGCGACTCCTTTATTTTTTTAAGTTGTGCAACAGAATGGCATAGTATTAAAATGTATGTAAACAAAGTGGGGGAAATTGTGGAATTGCTGCCATATGTTTTATTTTATGTATTTTGTGGAAAACTTAACCAAACAAAAATTGAACTAATCATTGTAGTTGAGCGAAATTTTATGTATTTTCTTTCTTAAATTTTGATCAATTTAGGTTGCCTTTCCTGCTCTTTCTTATCAGAATGACATTAATGACACACTGGCAGTCAAAGACACAGAAGAGGCTCAGAAGCCTGTGAATGGTATTGTGCAACCTCCTTTCATACCTCCTCCAGATAAACCTCACCGAAATACCAACCAATTGCAATTTCTTTCAAAGGTTGTAATGAAGGCAGTATGGAAACATCAGTTTGCCTGGCCATTTCGTGAACCTGTAGACACAATCAAACTCAATTTACCAGTAAGTATGTTGTAACACTAAAATTAGCTTTTTAATAATATTTTGAATTATTGAGATTGTAATATATTGCATATTTTTGCAAAAACACTTAGTAATTTTCTGGTTGTAGGTGTTTTATTGTATTGCAAAATTGGGAATTTTTTCAGATATTTGTTCATAATATTAATTTTAAAAGAACTATAAATACTCCAATTTAAAATAATTTTCTTTAAAAAAATTTAATTTCTCATCTAGATATCATTGAAATATTTAGCATTTTAGTTACATATATCTTGTAATTAAGATAAACATCAAAGTATAATAAACTTTATTAAGTAGTTAACCTAAATTTTTTGGCATTTTAAATACTAGTCACTGTTTGTCTTAAAAAAATTTTGTATCTCAATCTTTTTTTAATGTGAAAATGTCAAAATAAAACCATGAGAACTGTATACCAAATTGTGGCTCTGTGGTCTTTGGCATTCTGATGTGTATGCCATAGATTCTTCATGCATTCTATTCCATCGTTCTTATAGCCTTCTCTATCAGGTTCCTGCTTTTCTTCCTAAAATGTCTGCAGCATGTTGGGTGATAGTGCATTCTAAATAAAGCCAGGAGAACTGTATGTCAAATTGTATATCTTCTAAAAAATGGTGTAATGAAGCGTAATCATATATGTAATATTTGTAAATGTTGTGGTTTTAGAAATTTAATGCATTCTTTGTCTTTAATACTGGTGATAAAGTTTCTATACTTGGTACCCAAAGCAATTGGCTCACCATAGCAAGATCTAAGAAATGTTCACCTTTTTGATCTTTGATTGTTATATTGTTTGTGGTTCTAAGTTAAACAACTCTCAATAGGCTTTTCAAAAGAGAGATAGAAAAAAGAAGAAAGAAACAGTTTGTATGATATGTCATGGAAAAGTTATGGTAAACATAGTAAAATTCAGGAAAGAGAGGGCTTAGTTTCTAGAGTTTATTATGAGACTTTTATTTTGAGTGATTTGTTACCTGAAATCCAAAGCACTCTTGTGACTGCATAAACAGAACTGTACTAACATGGGTATAACAGATCTATCGGCTTTGTTTTTTACTACTTGTCACTAGCCATCATATATTTGCAATAAACCAGTGAACCTTAGTTTTTGCTTGATGAAACTGTTTGCACCGTCTTCTTTCCACAAACTAAAGCCCGAAATCTGAAATTCTGAACTGATACATAACCTCTTCTCACATCTATCTTTTCCCGATAGAGTGCTGTCCTCTATTTGTGAAATTTTTGCTTTCCACTAGTCTTGAAGCTCCCTCCTATTCTCAGGTTTCCATGGGATATTGCTGCATTGTTGCATGAAAACAAGTGTGTGACAACCTTCCACCAATAAGAGTGTAATATTGTTTCTTAGTCCAGAAGGCTAGCTCTGTACTGATTGTTCAGTCATCACTTCTTGATTTGGCACTTGTGTGTTAAGACATGTCTTTTCTTTCTCTCATGTGAGATTTCTCAACATTTAATTGAAGTATTTACAAAACCATCTGTTGTGGAAACATTTTTTGTTTTTAATTTCAAACAATTCTGCTTTTGCTGACTTTGTAGCTCATATTTTCCACAACATGAATTACACAGAGATGGTCACTTCCATGCTGTCTAGTGTTGAATATTTGGATTTTATTTACTCTAGACAGACTATCACAGTGGAATCGTATGCTTTTTTGTCTGTCAGGGGACATGACAGCTATTGTATGACAGGTAGTGGAGCCTTGCTTGCAGCCTGGGCCTTTTTCAGGCTTTGACACAGACTTCTCTCCTCCTATACTTTTTGTCCGTAAGGATGTGGACTTTTGGCTGTTTTTTCCTGTTGCCTAAATTTACAAACAATTCTGGTGCATACATAGATCTACCTTGATATTCTGCATCCTTCTGCAACTTTTCTTCATAGGCATGTTACCTTATTTCAATCTCTTCTATTTATTATTATTCTTTACTTTCCATTTTTCATTTGGCCCTTTTTTTAGAATATTGTTTTCCTCCTCCTGATATACGAGTTCTTGCTGAAAATTGTTTATGTCTCAACTTCACTTTGGTGCTGTTATGATTAGTCTTCCTTGACACATTTGCACATTTGCCTTGGCTTACAATCAAGCTGAAGCTCTTTTCTTGGACTCCCAGACTTTGGAGTTTTGTCTTCAGGCTTGGGGTTCTGATCCATTTTTCTCTGTTGGTCTTTCTCAAGCTTGATTTTCTTGCCTTTTCCTTACCCCCTCTACTCTCTTTATGTTATCTATCCTTCATTCATCTCTTTTTGAAAGCAATCCACCGTTCCCATGAGGGTTTTTTGTTGGACACTTGTTCCTGTTCTTTTCTACATTGGTTTCTTCTTCTCCCTCAGTCTTGTCCCTTCTCACTTGGTTCCACTGTTACTGGTATCTGTTAGGAAAGGATGCTCTTCTTGCCCAAGTATGTTTACTTCCTTTATATCTCAGGGTCCTTTGTCTGGCTCATTTCTTCTCCTAGTGAGTTTTGGTGGGGTAACTGATTTTTGCCATGTGCCAACATTTTTCTTTGACTACTCTTGTGTACCAACTATCCAAAGCTTCTTCTCTTCCAATTGTTTTCTCCTGTCCTCCCAACTCCTTTCTCTCCCTGTTCTTCCATCCTGTTCCTCTTTTACTGTCTTTTGGTTTCAGTGGTGACAGTCTTGTTGGTGACTACCTTCTGGGCATTGGCTCATATGTTTTTTTGTCTTGTAGTGCATGCCTTCAAGTAACACATTCGTAGCTTGGGATTGAGATTCCATCATTATATGGATGACTGGCTTCTTTTAGCTCCATCCCAATTTGACTTCTCTGACCTTTCTTTTTCTTCAGGAGGTGACTTGTTTAGGTTGGTTAATCGAACTGGAGAATTCTTGTATCATGTCTATCCAGTATCTGGTTCATTTGGGTATGTTTTTTACTTTCCATGTCAGCAGGGCACAGCCTTCTCTGCTGCATTTCAGGCCATAGAGGGTTTGGTTTCTACAGCTCTATCCTTTCTGTCTATTCCTGTGGGAGAGGTTCTTTATCTTCTGGAGACTTGGGCTTCCTTGGAACCCCTTATCCCCTTATTGTGCTCACATGCATTTTTTTTTTACTGTGGACTGTACATGATCAGTAGAACCTCTCTCTGAATTTTTTTTTCCAGAGTGGTCTCTCAATTCTTGTGTTTCTCAATGGTTTCACTTTTGTCTGGGCACTCCTCACATCACTGTCTTTCCCAATTAAGACAGTGCCAGTCTTTTCCCTTATTTGGGTCTCTTGTTCCACATATATCAGCATTAGTGGTGGAAGCTTTCAGTCAAAAATAGTCCAATCTATCCCTTTGTGTTTACTCCCTGTTTGTCTCCTCCCTTGAGTTCTGTCCTTCATTCAAAACACTCTTTGTCAAGTTGTGGTGATACCCTATTGGCTGGCTCAATTGTGTTTTTCTCTGCTGAGCCTTCTGACTTTCTCCCCTCTTTATCCCATTCTCTTCATCTTCAGCCTCATACTTCTTTCTTCATCCAGTCATGTCATCACTCTGTCTTCACATGTGGGATATGTCCATTCCTTTGCAAAACGGTTGGGACTTGCATAACGTGTAGCCTTCTTGTGCCATTCTGTTTGCCTATCCTCCTTAGAACTTTATCAGTGGAACTGGCATATTTATCAACTCTTGTTTGAATATAAATCCTTCTCACCTTTTTATGCTTTTTTACCCCATCTATCTGTATTCTTCACATAGTTTTTTGACCACAGTTGATCTATCTTAATTATTGCTGGTTACTGAGTGGCAGTCTAAACTACTTTTCTGTTTTCCCGTTTTGTTAGTTGTTTTTTTTCTCCATAGCCCTTCCCATTCTTTTAGACTACCTGACAAGGTCCTTGGTGTTGTTCTCCATGCTCTTACCCCTACCTCCCTTTGAACTTTTGGCTTCTTGTTCCTTATACTGCCTGTTTCTTAACTTTTTTCCTCCCCTTCTCACCTGTGATTGTTGGCATTCTGATGTGTATGTCATTGATTCCTCTCACATTATGTTCCATCTCTCTGGATCATGCTTTTCTCCCTTAAATGTCTATGGCTCATGTTTATTCTCAAATTGATCTCGAATACCTCCTTTGTCCTATTCTTGCAATCTATGGTTATTTGTACCACACTTCTTCCTTTCATGGTTCCTGATTTCATCTCTTCCCTCTGGAATCCTTTGTTCATTTGTGATCTTTCTCCTTCTACTCTCACTGGATGGGTCTGATGGCTTATCTGTTTAGCGTATTCTTTGTTGGATTGAGAAACTTGTTGGTGTTTCCAGGTGCTGTATGGTTTTGAATTGTAGTTGACCCACCACATGTGGTCTGAGACATCCTAGCCACACTACACATAAGGCACTTTCCAAAGCCTGATGCATGTTTTGGCCTATGCTTGTATGTAAGCAAAGATTGTACCCTGGTACAGATGAGGTGTGGTCTTCTAGGAGTGTGCCCCTATACTGTTTCAAGATATAGTGTCACACTCCCTGGGATTCTCGCTGGGCACTTTCTGAAGGGGGCTTATCTAGGTAAAATTTTGCACTGGTCTCTCCACCACTTCAACTTTGATTGTAGCTTGATATGAGCACAAGTTGTGTATTATATCAGAAGATAACATTTTCCAACACTGAAAATGTATTTCTGACAGATACTTACCTCTTCTCACTTATTCTACCCTTATTCCCCACTTCCATTGTATCTTACTTTATTGTGTAATCTTGAAGTGATGATTGAACAATAAGTATAGAGGGAGCCAGTTGTGCTATAAGATAGTGTTGCACTTCTGTTGTGGAGGGTTGTTGCCAGCAATATCACATGGAAACATATGAGATTAGGTAGGAGCCTCAAGGCTAGTGGTAAGCAAAAATGTTTGCATGTAGAGGGGAGCACTGAATCAGGAAAAGCTAGATGAGAGAAGATGTGAGAATCTATCAGAAATATATTTTCAGTGTTGGAAAATATTCATTTTATACAATG